TGCACCGTTATTAGAAATGGGTTCTTAATCCAAAACTTATTATAGTTTTCCTTTATAAGTAGAAATGATGAAATTCATTTATTTCTCATTTATTCTGCAATTACAAATGCACAAAAACAAAAAAACAGTAATTGTTGGCCAACACAGTTTCTGTCAGTGATTAGCCTCGGGAGCGGTCACCTCTGTGGAGGGAACCTGAGATTATTTTGCCTTGTGAAAGGAAATGTATTTACACCATAGTGTTCTGTGTATAATGCACACCCATTGTGTACATTCCACACAGTAATTTATCACCAGGAACAGAAGTATTTCATGTGGAAGCAGGTTGTTTTAATGATTGATTCCAGAGTGCAGAGCTACAAGATGTTTTAAGTTCACACGGTGTTCTGAAAAGCTTCAGCTCTCCTGTGGCTCGGTCCACTGGGACAAAATATTGCTGCGCGTTGGGCAGTAAGACAGCACAGAGGAGCTGTTTCCTAACTCTTGGCTGTTAATCTGGACTGATCAGGCTCTTTGTGGCCTTCAGCTCAGGGAGAGTCTCTCTTAGCCAAACACTGGCTATCTGTAGCTGCATGGCAATTGGGGGGTGCTGATGAAAACCACATGTTTTCTGGCCAATGGGTCTAATTAAACATGCACGAGGTTCATTGTTGCTTTTGAGACATTGAACTCTTACAAGAAGGGTCACAAGTCCCCTCCTTTTCCATTTTCTAGGCCCTGATGTTGTTTATCTATTTATGGATTGCACAACTTCTGGGAACTTGTTCCCCCTCCTGAGCAGTGTCGCAGAGTATTTCATGTTGTTCCACATCAAAGTGCTGTGTGAGAGGAAACGGCACGGACCACCTCAAGGACATGAAGCACAAAAGCGTGCAGCAGCATATTAGGTTGTCCTTTGATGTTCTGGTTACTAATAATGTCCTCGGAGAGCTGAATTTGATCTGCATTGTGCATGGAGTGCATTAAGACAAAGCAGGTTCATTAAAGGGAGCCTAAATGTTTCCATACATCCTCCTCAGAGCAGAAACAAGCTGCCACTTAGTTAAGCTCAACTACCGTCTCAAACACGTCTTTTGTTATTTTATAGGAAGACTTCAGGCCTTAAATGTGTGTGTGTGTGTTAAATTCAGCTCTGACATTTTCTTTGGTTGTCTCTGTTTTACACGCCACACTTTTGGTTCTGTGTTTCCTTCAAGAAAGAAGCAGATAAAATAGTGAAGGAGACAAGTATTGGAACAAATCGCCCAGTTTTATCTTTTATTTTCCTCTAAGTCCAGTGGTACTTGCTCTGGCAGATTAAGTCACTGGTAGACCTATCCTGTAGGATTTGACTTCACTTGTAATATGGGGAACTTCCAAGAGGGGGAACACCTGGACCTGTCATTCTGTGTCCGTTTCTCCTTCCTGTCCTCTCAAACCCCAGCCAGTCGAAGCAGATGGCTGCTAGTCCTGAGCCTGGTTCTGCTGGAGGTTTGTTCCTGTTAAAAGTGAGTTTTTACTTCCCACTGTCTCCTTCGTGCTTGCTCAGGATGGGAGACTGTGATGAAGTGAAGATGCAACACGTCTGCTGCTTTCTTTAGATCAATAACTTTTACTAAATGGTTTTGTATGTATGTGGATGTTTCTGTTCAGTGCCCTGAGACAACTTTGTTGGAACTTGGTGCTATTTAAATAAACTGAATTGAACTTGTGCTGTGTGAACTCTGGTGGTGACTAAAAATGGAATAAAAACTACATTTTTTCTGCACCCTAGGAAGAGAGAGCTATGCCAGTTTGCATTTTAAGTCAGAGTCAGAGATTCTTTATTGTCATTCGCACCCCATGTGGTACATGTGGTGGAGCGAAATTATGTTCACAGGGTCCCAGTTACATCCAACAATAAAATGTAAAATAAAAACAGTAATAAGATCTAAGATATGAACGAAGAAAGACATCAACTAAATATACACTAAGCACTCATAACATAAAAACATTACGTCAAACATCAGCACAAACATGAACACGAGTCCGTGTGAGCAGATGAGCATGCATGAACACATCAACATGAAACAGATCAGCAGCAACATGAAACGGATCAGCAGCAACATGAAACGGATCAGCAGCAACATGATGTGATTTTTCACATTGATTATTCTGGTTAGAGATTCATGAGTCTAACAGCCTCAGGGTAGAAGCTGTTCCTCAGTCTAGTGGTTCTACACTTAATGCTCCTCAACCTCCTTCCTGAGGGGAGTGGGGCAAAAAGTGTGTGTGCTGGGTGAGTGGGGTCCTTCATGATGCAGGTGGCCCTCTTCCTGCATCTGGAGGTGTAGATGTCTGTGATGGTGGGGAGGCTGATTCCGACAGATTTCTGTGCAGCCTTCACCACTCTCTGCAAAGCTTTTCTTTCTGCAGCTGTGCAGCCTCCATGCCACACATTGATGCTCGAGCACAGGATGCTCTCCACTGCACACCTGTAGAAGGAGGTGAGGACTGAGCTTCCCAGACTAGCTCGTCTCAGCCGCCTGATGAAGTAGAGTCTCTGATGAACTTTCTTGATCAGGCTGGTGGTGTTGTTGCTCCAGCTGAGGTTGTCATTCATGTGTACACCCAAGTACTTGTAGCTGGAGACCACTTCCACCACAGATCCTCTTATTTTCAGGGGGGTGTAGATGTTTTTGTTCCTTCTGAAGTCCACAATCATCTCCTTTGTCTTCTTCACATTGATATGAAGGTTATTCTCTTTGCACCAGCTCTCCAGGTTTTCCACCTCTTGTCTGTAGTTGGACTCAACATTGTTTGTGATGCATCCCACCACCGCTGTATCATCTGCAAACTTTACAATGTGACAGCCTGGATGGGTAGCTGCACAATCTTACGTGAGCAGAGTAAACAGGAGGGGGCTCAACACACATCCCTGAGGAGAGCCAATGCTGAGGGTTATGGTGGAGGAGGAGAAGTTGTGGATCCTCACCGACTGTGGTCTGTTTGTTAAGAAGTCTAGGATCCAGTTACAAATGGAGGGGCTTAGTCCTAGTGTGGATAGTTTGTCCATCAGGGTTTGGGGGATCATGGTGTTGAAGGCGGATGTGAAGTCCACAAAGAGCATACGGACGTAAGAGTTTTTCTGCTCCAGGTGGTTGAGTGCAGTGTGGACCACAGAGGAGATAGCGTCCTCTGTTGATCGGTTCTCACGGTATGCGTACTGATGAGGGTCCTCGTTGATGTTGATGGTTGTTTTGATGCGAGTCATGACCAGTTTTTTGAAGCATTTAGCGAGTATCGGGGTGAGGGCCACTGGCCGATAGTCTTTTTGGGACTGGGATGATGGTGGCAGTCTTCAGGCAGGTGGGAACTGTCTCCAGGGTAAGTGAGGTGTTAAAGATGTCTGCCAGCACCTCGCAGAGCTGATCAGCACATTCCTTCAACACTTTTCCGGGGATGTTGTCTGGGCCAGTTGCCTTGTGCGGATTAATCCTCCTGAAAGTACTCCTTACTTCGGCTGAGGTCACGCTGAGATGCTCTTCATCCAGTGGTGAGGTGAGTCTGGTGCTGGGTGGTCTGTTCGGGTCTTCAAAGCGTGCATAGAACTTGTTGAGGGCATCAGGCAGAGATGGGTCTATGGGGCATTGTTCACTCCTTCTTTTGTAATGTGTTATGCACCTAATGCCCCTCCACATGCTCCGAGGGTCTTGTGAGATGAATTGACCTTGACCTTAAGGAAACTTCTTCTAAAGTTTTAGTCCATCCAAAGATGAAAATTGGAAGACTACCTCACACCATGCAGGTGTTTGTGAGAGAAATCTCTTTTACCTTTTGAAAAGAAGATGGGCAGACATCCAACACACAGACACACAAAACAGACAACTATTCACACACTTAGTTTAGATTTTACGACTAAGAAAACCTGCTTACTTGTGGAATATGGATGTAAAACAAAGTGTGCTGATAAAACTGACACATTAATGAAGAGAATGTGTAAACTTTACTTGTAAAAGGATTTCAGCCAATGTTGGTGTGAGCTCCACAAGATGCTTTACTTCCTAACTGAGCAAAGCCTTGTTGTAATCATATAAAGGGGTCTTGTCAGTAGTTTTTTAATCTTTCATTGGATTTTTATGGCTTCTTCACTTATTTTTCAGTCCATTTTCAGAAAAGATTTGTTTGTTTGTTCAGCCAATTCATTCTAACCTAAGAAGCAGTCAGGCATAAAAAAGCTCCTAGACAGTTAATGAAACGGTGTCCACTCATAATGAAAAAAAGAAGCATGTTTAATTTGATCTTTACGTTCTTTGTTACTAGCATCCTCACCAACATATGTTAAAAATGTGCTTTTTACTTGAAACTGTAAAAATTATAAAACGTGAAACGGATATAAAATGGTAATTTGGCAGCAACAGCATTGCTTCCTAATTGCCATTATCTGAAAACTTGGCTTATCTCACAATATTTTCTTGGAAAATGACAAAGTGTTCTGAACCCTTCCCACACTCTTGCAATATTCTAAACAATGTTTCTAAACTCTAAACACTCTGGAAGAGCACAGAATGTCATGATTTCAGCTCTCTGCCTCCTCTGCTCTTTGCCACCTGCAAGCGTTTTGGCCACGCCCACTTCTCCGCTCTGCATGGTGAACAGCTGATCAGCTGCAGCAGTAAGTTTATCCTGCAGTGTGGGCTGCACACAGATGCAGCAGGTGCTAAATAATTTAAAACAATTAATTTTAAATAAAAAATTCATGCTGATCGTGCAGCTCGTCCATCAATCAGCCGAATGTGTGTCATGTCCAATCTTATTTTGAAAAACCGCGATAGTTTGAGGCCGCGATAAACGAACCGCGAAGGAGCGAGGGACTACTGTACAATATGTGTTTAGACATGAGTGATAAGGAATGGTTAACTGTCAGATGACAGCAGGTGTGTCATGTTACACAGCAGCTCTTCCTGTCTGCAGTAAAGTAGATCACAGCTAAAGTCTTACTGTCCACTGAAGCACCATGTATGTCTGTGTGATGTTTACAGACGTGCGCTGATAAGCCCACTGAGTTAATCTTGCCAGTGGAGGAGGAGGTGAAGGTGAAGCCAGCGGTGTTGAAGCACAGCAGAGAGGACTACTACGGGAGCCTGAGTGAGGACTGCAGGGTCGGGCACGACCACAACACACACATGGATAGTTTAAAGGTGAGCACCAAGTTCAGGTCTGAACAAGTGTCCTGTTTCTGTCAGAGCTCCATCTTTAAAGTAGAACCATTTCGTCTTTGTGTGTGTATGAGCAACCTGAGTGTGAGGAGCCACCGGAGGCCAGATACCCTCAGCCTTCACCCCCCCGGGCTTCTCCCTCCCTTACCCAGCCTGGGAGGACTGCAGTCAGCAGAATAGAGCAAGTTCAAATTGCAACATCTGGTGAGAGAAACACGTCTGGTTGTGTTTGCAACACAAGGCATCAATGAGTAAACTGGAGTTTCTGCACTGAAATGGAGAGAATAATGAACTCCGTTCTTTTTGTCCTTCAGTTATTAAAGGTTTTCATCAGTCCACGGAAGCTGGGAGCGAGGGACCGCTCTCTGATGACAAAATGTTTCTTGATAAGAAGCTTCTGTCTGAAAGAAAACTGCTTGGTAACATGAAGTCCATTAAATCTTTGAGCGAGTCAGGAATGTCAGGAGTCTTCAGTGGACAAGCAGTGAGTTTTATTTTCTTTAAACTTCATCACATTTTGTGGAAAAAGTACAGAACCACCCTGTTCTATGTTGTCCTTCAAAGGAGCCAATGTTTCTTGTAATCCTTTAAAGTGGGCTTGTCAGAGTTTAAACGTTTCTGCTTTTTCACTCAGTTTCAGTTCAGTTTGACTGTTATCAGACGAATGAGATCTTTTGTTGCTGAAATGAGCTTCCTCTGTAGAGAAGAGGTGATGAGCTCTGTCATCTGGGGCAGCTCACCGGAGATCTGCTGTTCATTTACAGCAAAAAGAGTCAGCTGGGGTGGTTCAGACATCTGATTAGGACCCCTCCCTCTTAAGGTTTCCTATCTGGGAACCCGGGGCAGATTTTATATTTCTGGTCTACGAACACCTCAGGATCCTCCAGGAGATGCTAGAGATGATCGCTGTGAAAAGGGATATCTGGATTTCCCTCCTGGACTCATTTACCCATGACTCGATCACAGATAAAATTGATTATTAACCTTTTTAACCTTTTTTTAATCAGGCAAATATCCCACTGAGATCAGAGCTTTTACGAGGGAAGTCTGAGATCGTCATCGTGGTATGTTCCCATACAAAGGTGGGATTAGTTCCCTGCATTTAACCCATCACACCTGAGATACACCCAGGTGGAGAGTGGGTAGCTATGTAAGCGCCCGGGGAGCAATTGAGGATTACCGGTAGGTGTCTTGCTCAGAGACACCATGACATGTGGGAATGGCTGCGAGTCGAACCACAACTTTCTGGTCCCAAGTCGGCTGCCCTAACTCCAACACCATCTCGGCCCCTGAGGCAGCCTAACATGCATGTTTTTGATATGTGGAAGGAAACCGGAGTACCCAGAGAACACCCACGATGAGAACATTCAAGCTCCACCCAGAAAGACCCTACAGTATGTCTAAATCAGAGTTTGATAGCTAGCTAGCTTTATTTGTCCCTGTAGAGAAATTGGTTTGCAGCATTGTCAGCAGGCATTTACATAAAGGACATACATGTACAACATGACAATAACATCCATCATTACAGCAAAGAAGTTTGAGCTCAGTCATTTTTGATACCTTTTTATTATTTAACGATTTACTCGCTTGTGGTATGAAATAAATTTTTGTCCTGATTCTTGAGAATAAAGGAAGGCAGAACCTTCGCCCTGAAGGAAGCAGCTCAAATGAGGATCTTAGGGGATGTGTGTTGTCTGCTATAATCTTGTTTGCATTTCCTCATAACTCTGTCCATGCATATTTTTTCTATACTCGGCAGAGTGGTCCCTAATGGTTTGCAGGCTGTAGTTACTGTACTTCTTAAGGATTTCTTCTGAGCCTCTGTAGTATTGCCAAACCAACAGATGTTACAAAATGTTAAAATACCCTCAGTAAAAGCAGAATAAAACATTAAAAGCATTGAGTTGTTGACTCGAAAAGACCCCACTTTGTTTTAAAAATACATCCTCTGCTGAGCCTTGGTGATAATAAGATCAACCCATGAGTCCAACTTTAAGTGACAGTCCAGAACCACACCCAATACTTGTAGCACGAGACAGTTTCAATCTGCTCTCCATTGATGGTGAATGGAGAGAATGACTGAAGCTCCCTGAAGTCAACAGTCATTTATTTTGTTTTTTCATGTTCAGAACCAATTTTGATTTTTTGCACCAATTAATGAAGAAGTCCAGAACTGGTCCATAGTCCTCTTCCTTGTTGTTTAAGAGGCTTACCAGGTCCGTGTTATCAACATATTTAATTCAATGTCTGTTTGGGAAAGTACTTCTGCAGGAGTTTGTGTACAGAATAAATAACAGTGAAGATGAAACGCACCCTTGAGGAGAACCAGTGCTGGTAGTTGTTTTGGCAGAGAGTTAGTTTTCTACATTCGCATTATAATCTAGCTGTTTTTGCAACTTTTTTTGCCATCTAATTTTAATTTGTAAAAAAAAAAATCTGTATGCCTCTTTATAATTTATTGTTGTCACTGTTGTCCATTGTTGTCATCATTCTTTGTTGAAATCAGGTCTCTCTCGTAAACGAGTCCTCGAGGCTCGATGGGATTAACCTGTTTAAATAAAGGTTGAATGAATGAGTGTTGAACCCACTCTGGCCTGCTGGACCCTACCTGTTAAACCGTCTGTAATCCATACAACCAAGCTATGTGAGCCAAAAAAGTCCATGCTCAATAATCCAGCTATGTGAGATTAAAAACTCTTTTGGTAAGATCTCTGTTAAAATACAAAGTACTTGGCTGAATGGCATTAAAAGCTGATGAGAAATCCACAAATACATTTTTTACATGACTTTTGGTCTTTCAAGATGGGACTAGAGTAGATGCAACTAGGACCATCTTGCTTTGAAACAACATTTCTAACCACTAAGCTGGATGGATGGATTTATAAGATATTTTGTTTATTAAGCCACGAGTTAGTGGCTCAATGAAGACCTAAACTCGGTGAATGAACCATGAGCCACCGCGCCAAATTATTAGACTGCTTAGCAAACAACGTTTATATTATATATAGTATTTAGTTATTAACCAAAAGCTCAGCATAAAGTGATGTAGAGTACACTTTTTGTAAAGAAGGTAGGCCGATGGTACTGATGTATTTCTAAGGTCCTGTCATGTCTTTCTGGGTTTTCTTTTAAAATTTCTTAAGGAAATTTGTTTCAGTCAAAAGTCAAAGCTTATTTCTTTAGCACATCCAAGTGCTTCCCACTGGATGAGACCAGTAACGCAACAACAAAATGAACTTCACTAAAACACTAGAACAAAACAAAACCACATTAGAAAATAAATGAATACATCAGTGAACATGCATAATTAAATCAAACCACATCCTGTCCATTTTAGATCCTGATCATCTGCTGTCGTTGTTTTAGACCTGACGCTTCTTGGTTTTTCATCCTCTAGTTCAATTTTCAGAAATTTAAACATCAAACTGCACTTCAAGCCGTGTTATGCCACATCTGGAAATCTATTTTTGCAAAAATAATAGTTTATGCTTATCAAAGTAACTTTTTTAATTTTAATTTACCTGAAAAAAATGAACAATTTTAAAAACTCTTTGAAAAAAATTACAGAACATTTAGGTCTTCTGAAGCAAAATATACAGAAATGAGACACTTACAGTGTATTCTTCCTATTTTTGCATATTCTTTATTTAGATAAATGTATCTCTGGATTTTCTCTAGAGTAAGATGGTGGTTCTGCCCACCGAGGAGGCCAACCTGTCAGACATCGACTATCTGGTGCCCACCCACGATGAGAGAGGTCACCCTATAGCTGAGTGGAAGAGGCAGGTCATGGTGAGGCAGCTGCAGGCGAGGCTGCTGGATGAAGAAGATCAGAGGAGAAGGGTAATGTCACTGTCAACACTGGACAGGGTATAATATAATGTGGAGATGTCTGTTTCCACGTCGTTTAAAGAAAAAACTCTTTAGAATTAACATTAAATCATTTTGGTATTTGGTAACACCTTGTCCTGAAAGAAGATGAAAAAATAAATTAATTAACAAGCAGTCCCACATCACTGAGGGGTTTGAATAGTAAATGTTAGTAGTTTTTGAAACAAGTGTTTTTTCTGGACTGGAAGTGAAAAAGGAATGCAAGTAAACCTTAGTGCAAGATATTTATGTAGAAGTTACACTGTGGAAAAGAACAGAGGTAGATTTGTTTTTTTGCTTGTCCGATGCAGCGCAGACTGATGAAGCCTGGCGAGTGGAAGGAGTAATTTTATCCACCAATGAAGGAGCCAGGGGGTGACCAATGGTGGCCTTGGCCTCCAAAGATTAATCTTAGGCTGCCCCAATTACTCGAGAAAACTATAGAAAAACTAGAAAACACAGTTTCCTCAAATAATTAGGGTGGCCTGTTTACACACACACACACACACACACACACACACACACACACACACACACATAGTGTGTGTGTGTTTATTTGTCATATGCAAGGTTAACAGTACAATGAAATGCATAGGATGAGAAGAACCAATTTGACTCGCTAAAAATGGACTCAATTTGACTCATAAACACACATATACATATATGTATGTATATAAATATATACATACATATATACATTCATACATGTATGTATGTATGTATGTATGTATATACATATATACATACATAGAGGAAAAATAAATGGACTCGATGTTCCCTCGCGTGGGTCACCAGGCCCTACTCTGGAGCCAGGCCTGGAGGTGGGGCATGCGGGCGAGCACTTGGTGGCCGGGCTTTTACCCATGGAGCTCGGCCGGGCACAGCCCAAAGATGAGACGTGGGTCCCCCTTCCCATGGGCTCACCACCTGTGGGAGGGGCCAAAGGGGTCGGGTGCAATGTGGGATGGGTGGTGTTCAAGGGGGGGGACCCTGGCGGTCTGATCCTCGGCTACAGAAGCTGGCTATTGGGACGTGGAATGTCACCTTACTGGTGGGGTAGGAGCCTGAGCTGGTGTGTGAGGTTGAGAGGTTCTGGCTAGAAATAGTCGGACTCACCTCTACGCATGGCTCTGGCTCTGGAACCAGTTTCCTTGAGAGGGGTTGAACACTCTTCCACTCTGGAGTTGCTCCTGGTGAGAGGCGCCAAGCAGGAGTGGGCATACTTACTGCCCCCCATCTTGGTGCCTGTGTGTTGGGGTTCACCCCGGTGAATGAGAGGGTAGCCTCCCTCCACCTACGTGTGGGGGGATGGGTTCTGACTGTCGTTTGTGCTTATGCACCAAACGGCAGCTCTGATTATCCACCCTTTTTGGAGTCCTTGGAGGGGGTTCTGGAAAGTGCACCTCCTGGGGGCTCCCTTGTTCTGCTGGGGGACTTCAATGCTCACGTGGGCAATGTCAGTGATACCTGGAGGGGTGTGGTTGGCAGGAACGGCCCCCCTGATCTGAACCCGTGTAGTGTTCTGTTGTTGGACTTCTGTGCTCGTCATGGATTGTCCATAATAAGCACCATGTTCAAGCATAAGGATTTCCATATGTGCTCTTGGCACCAGGACACCCTAGGCTGCAGTTCGATGATCGACTTTGCTGTCGTCTCATCTGATCTGCGGCCACATGTCTTGGACACTCGGGTGAAGAGAGGGGCAGAGCTGTCCACTGATCACTACTTGGTGGTGAGTTGGCTCCGATGGTGGACCTGGCAGGCCCAAATGTATTGTGAGGATTTGCTGGGAACGTCTGGCAGAGTCTCGGAGACGGAGCTTTAACTCCCACCTCTGGGAGAACTTCGAACATGTTCCGGGGGAGGTAGGGGACATTGATTCTGAGTGGGCCATGTTCTGTGCCTCTATTGTCGAGGTGGCTTACCGGAGCTGCAGCTGCAAGGTTGTCGTGCCTGTCGCGGCGGCAACCCTCGAACCTGGTGGTGGACACTGGCAGTGAGGGATGCTGTCAGGCTGAAGAAGGAGTCCTATCAGGACTTTTTGGCCTGCGGGACCCCGGAAGCAGCTTATGGGTACCGGCAGTCCAAGCGACATGTGACTCGGGTGGTTCAAATTCAAATTCAAAAATACATTATTAGTCCCAGAGGGAAATTATTTTGTTGTTGCAACTCGTTATCCTCATTTCATGAAGAGATGTTATAGATGCTGATGGCTGTAGACAGGAAGGATCTCTTGTTGTAAAGGTCCATCCCACAGTGGTTCGTAAGAAACTGGCTGCAGATGCCGTCCAATCTGTCCACCCAGACTCGGCTGGCCTCTCGGTTCCCCCAGGTTGTAGTACCACCCGAATGCCGGGCAGAACTCCTCCCAGAGCAATGGTCACTTCTCCCAGCAGTCTGCCAAGCTCCTTGTCGCTGTGGACAGCCAACTGTAGGTGCCGAGGGACGATCCTGTCCTTCCGCTGTCCTGAGCTGTGTTTCCTGATAGTTCCAGGATCTCAGTGGTCAGGCACTCGAGCACAGCTGGCAGGACATGACACACAATTGGCTGATTGATGGATAAGCCGCATGATCGGCATGAAATTGTTTATTTAAAATTAATTATTTTAAATTATTTAGCACTTGCTGCTCCTTTGTGCAGCCCACAACTGTAGAAAAAGCTTCCGCCTGCGTCTCTGTGCAGCCTTTACTGCAGGATAAACTTCCTCTTGCAGCTGATCAGCGTGCAGAGCGGAGATGTGGGCGTGGCCAAGAGCGATTGCAGGTGGCTGAGAACAGAGGAGGCAGAGAGCTGAAATACTGACGTTCTGTGCTCTTTTGGAGCATTTAGAGTTGTAGTGAACTAAGCCTCAGGTCAAATCTGGCCTTGAGGGCCTTCCTGGGACAAGAACTGTATTTCATTGATTTGAGTCCAGAAACACAAGATTAAGTTCATCCAGAGACTTTCTAAGTGTCCTGCACTGATCAATTGAAAGAACACTCTCTTTTTATTATCATTACTATTTTCTTGATAATCAAAGTGTGTTTAGTTCAAACCATTTTTAAATGTTGAAGTGAACTACTCATTTTAAATCAACTGTGAAACAGTATTAATGAATTTTTAATCCTCATTCAAAGTAGAAATCAAGTTAGAATGGGTTACAGAGTAATTATGCATTTTTCTGATTTTCTGTCTGAAATGAGCAAGTGTAAGTTGGTCCAAGGTTGGAGACAAACGCAAACAAATTTGTTGGAACGAACTGTCATGTTTTTAAATCCTCTCAGACATAAATAGAGAAGCTGGCACCTGTTTTCTCCCAACTCGCCTAAACATTTCTCTTGTCTGTCTCAAAAACATTTTCAGTCTGTTCCAAAACATTTTTCTGTTTTTCTGACTTCTAGTGACCTCTTACGTCACAAAAACACACCCCTGATTAGCTATTTCAGCCAATCAGGACTTCCCAAATGAACCGGAAACAGAACTCTTTAAATGTCTGCACTTCCTAGTTCCAGCCAGTGCGGTGGGAGAGCAGTTCAGTTCGGAGGTTAGAACCGAACAGAAAAGTTGCTGGAGAGAACAGGAGGTTCCAGACATGATCCGAAGTTCTTCCGAGTCTTGTGGGAATTATGCAATCTTCCACATCTGAGTGGAACTCTGACGGACTCACAACTCATGTGAGCCCAACCGAGAGGTGAACGTGTGCTGCACTAAGTACCGTCACTACTCCGGACGTTTCCCAACCATCCTACGGAGACGCTGGAAATGGTAGCGTTAAATGGGACTCCGTACCAGCTGATTCATCTTCAGAGAGGTAACGAGTCGATTTCCTACTGAAGCGTACCGAGATGAAACTGGGTTCGAATGGAGAGTGCCGTTCTTATACCGACACATAACAACCCCTCATCCATCTTCTCTCTCAATTTTAACTCCTTCATTCCCCATCTTTAAACTCTTCTATCTTGCCAGTAATTAATCCAGATATTTTCAGAAATGTCTGTTGGTTTAAAGTTGCAAGGATACCATGGCCGTATGGTTTCCTGACTGTAAAGCTAATTAATTAAGCTGTTATTGTAATCAATTTTGCCAAATTAATGTAAATGTTTGATGTTAAACTTTGATTCTGTTAATAAATGACCGCATTCATTTGATGGGTCAAAGAAAATTAACGTCTCACGTTACATTTAATAATTCAATGCACGATAGAACTCAGTCCAGAAAAATGAAAGAATCCGTTTAATTTATGTATATATCACATGTATATGTTCATCTACAGAGTTTAGAAACATTGTTTAGAATAGTGCAAGACTGTGGGAAGGGTTTAAAACGCTGTAATATCTACTTGTACTACTATTCCTACTTTGCAATTTTTCACTTATCGCGGGGCTTCAGGGTACGGATCCCCTGCGATAAA